ACATACATACATACATACATACATACATACATACATACATACATACATACATACGAACTCAAATATATATTAGATGTCACGAGTTGATGCGAGAGCTAGCAAGTAGACGCACGCATATGCTGTAGACAGAAATGTTTTAATTTATAACTTGGAAGTTTAATAAACCATATAACAGGTAAACGTTGGCGACCGCACAACCATCAATTACAATTAAGAAAAACTATACATGGATTAACGCTACAGCAATATAAATGTTAGATTTAGTGGCGTATCCAGAAATTGATGAACAGGGGTCGAAAATTGTACCTGAGCTGCTGCAGGCAGCCCCGCGTGCCGTAGGCGTAGGCACACCAGCGCTAGCGGGGTCGGGGGGCATGCTCCCCCAGAAAAATTTGAAATATTTAAGCCATTTTCTCGCAATCGGAGGCATACTATGGGCCATATTCTGATGTCTGATGACACTATCTCAACCCTAGACTCAACCCTACAATTTAAGATTTAAAACACTTTTCATGACTTTCCAAAGAGCGTACACACCTGAGGTTAGGTTACTATAGTAATAATACATGTATTAAAACACAGGTAAGAATTGCAACACAAAATGACTTCATAATTAAGTCCTTTAACATGTTTAATGCCACTCTAAGGAAACACACTTGATCATGTTGATGATTAGCTCCGATTGGTACACAGGTCAGTGTGACAATTAGGCCTACTAATAATTACCACTGATATGTTTAGGTCATGATTGTGTGTTCGGGACTTTAAGCGTCCCCCATGGGGTTTACCAATAGCAACCGTCGAGGCTTTCTTCTGATGAAGATGTTGATCACCTTATCCATTTGCAAAGGGAGGTCCTTGTGGGGCAACAGAAGTAGGAGGGCGTTCAGTCTGACGTTACCCCTGAAGACCCACTGCTACTAAATAGTTTTTTTTCTGGGTTTTTTTCTGCGCCTGCAAACGGGGGGGGGGTACGCCGGCTCCGCCCTATGCTGTATACGCCAGTGAGATTATTGTAACATGAGCCATTACGCGCCCAATAGATGGCGCCATCCTTTGTTCAGATTATATATATTACACGTCAGCTCTTTTGTCTTTACTTTAGATATACAACACATAGATAAGGCCTTCTTCTTCGTCTTCGGCTTCTTTTTCCGCTTCTCTTCTTATTCTTTTTCTTCTTCTTTTTCTTCTTCTTCTTCTTCTTCTTCTTCTTCTTCGGCTTCTTCTTCTTCTTCTTCTTCTTCTTCTTCTTCTTCAACTTCGGCCACTTCTCCGGCCGCCCCTCTCTCAGTCAGATACAAACTTAACCAGTCTATCTCAAACAGTAACTTCCTACGTCTATATCAGGCACAATCAGATTCTTTCCACGTCACGTCAGCCAATAACTCCACACGTCTATCTCCAGACATTCTCTCTCTCTCTATGAAGGGCCGTAACATGGTACTTCTCAAGTGAATACTTCCCCCCAGTAAATAGGTAGTAAGTTCATTTCTAGGAAGTAAATCCCAACGGCGAGATTTAGCTAATCTCCTGGTTTGACGTTGTAGACCGCCTCGGCCATGAGGGGTCAAATATAGAGTCGTGCAGATGATGCCCAATGTTGTTATCTAAGCTGTAATTAGTTCCCCCGGGGCTTGAGTTTGATTGTTGGTGGTCCGTTATATCAGAAGTAGATAATTCCCTATTAAGTAAATTTTCCTATATAAGTTTCCTATTATCTACTCCTGGTTATATGCTACTGATGATCAAGACGGTGTTTTTGGAGCCATTAACTGATGTCGACCTCTACTTAACGACTGCTAATTAAGCGGTTTGCTAGCATTTTAACATGCACATTTATCTTGTCGCAACATCAAAATTAATTTTATATGGGTTTGTAAATTGTAATTTTCAAGCTCCGAAATATATAAACATATATATAATCACATATATCTCATATATAAATGAAAAGCAATTATTAACGAGTAGGTAGTGTTTTTAGTTTAATATTAGTAATTCTAACTAGTATTCAACGTTGAAACAACGTCTCTTTTAACGTTGAATAGTCGTTATACATTTCGTTATTAATTAGACGTTGTATTCTTGTTGATCAACGCCATGGCTTAATTTCCAACAAGATTCAGCGTTAATTGAGAGGATGTCGTGTGTCCGCTGGGATGTTGTGCTCTTACGCGAGACTGATTGTTGTTTACTACGCACCTTTGTTTGGCTATTGAGCTAATATTGTGTTTAAGGCGCGTGCTACCTAATCAACATTTCCAGTGTATAGCGACTGGATACATATCCACCCGCATGTATTATAATATGAGAAAATATAATTCAACACCTGATAAACCGTTTGTTTTATTCTATAATAATAATATTCTTGTTTAAGGAATCTGGCCTTAACAATGTATTTCTATGTCAGACAGCGTATTTTGTTGAATTTTGTGGTTTATTACATTTATGTGGAAATTTTTTATGATAAACCCGCGAGCCCTTCCTTCCCTGTATTCCTTTCACATAGCATTTCATTACATAGCACTATAAATAGTCATATCAACGACTGATCAGAAGTGGTTTCTAATATATCTATTGCATTCAGATATATTACGTTGCGCAAACTACTTGAGTGAAAATGGCGGCCGGGCTCATGTGCCGTCACAAATCCGCCAGTAAAACGCAATGTATCGTTTTCATTCTCTTACTGCTATCCACACATTCAAAAGCAAACGCGATTACGAACAGCCACTGAAAATCATAGGAGCACGTTGCGCACTACGAATGCGTTACGAGATAATAGTGAAAATAACATTGAATAAGAAAAATAGGCCTAAATATTAACAACTTGATGTGCTCACTATCTATAAGACTATTAGACCACGGTACGTATAACAAGTAGGATTAGTCAAACCTATCTGGATTACGGTACAGAGCAACAACGATGACTCTTCAGCAGCTAGGGGCGCAAGGCTAGCCTTTTGCTACCGACCTGCGGCTGCGATCAGGTGTCTATTTGTCTGTAATGAGGCAGCGGGCATGCTGCACTCGTTAGAAAGTGATTCACTTCTTGGTTGATCGCGTGGTAATTGCGCCGCGATGGGACCCTTTTCACCGCAGCAGTTGTCGAGCAAACACCGCGACTCTGCAGCTGTACGTTGCATGCGTTTACTGTAACCTCGAGCTAATTCTACAAGGTCAGCGTATATCGAATTTTGTCTGATCTTTGACGTCGGAGTGTGCATGCCCCATTTTACATAAGTTATAGTGTTGCGTTTCGCACAGTTTTTTTTATAATGTTTTTTATTTCCAGAAACACATAATATGTGCATTAACATTATACGTTATACAAAATATCTACATTACTGTGATGGTAGCATAGTTTAGTGATGGCACAGTAGTGCACAGTTAGTGCTCATGACGACATTGTCCGTGAGGAGTTTCATCATATTTGGATTTTTTCACTCGAGCAAACGATTCGGTATAGCTAGTGAATCGCGTACCTGCGCAAATCGAAAATCTCAGTCAATAATTTCTAAAAATCACTTCAAATTCGCGATTCAATCCACAGACAGAAGCCGCTGACATGAGAGATACTTTGCCCCGCGATAGCTGGATTAACGTTGTACCAAGAGTTAATAAAGACAAATTTGTCTTTATTAACTCCTGGTTGTACTAACACTATGCGCGTTATTTGATGCCCCCTTTATAGGTGGGGTAGAAGGCTTTGGCTTATATGAGCAAACAATTTTCAGTTCGAGTAAACGCAATATAATAACAACTACATGCAGTGCTGCTACTCACACCCGCTAATAGGTAGAGTTGTTTGTACGTGCGTTTCCCGTACTGGTCGCGCGCGACTTTGTGAATGCTTGTCGCTGTACCATGCTATGAAACCATGCCAAGAAATTGTAGGAATCATTTCTTGCTGATAGTGAGTTACAAACGCTTGGCGTATGCATAAAGTGGTTCCTGTACGCATGACGAATATTCATATATGTGCATCTAGATCTATTAGACGTGTTCGTATTTTGAGACGATTTTGATATGATGTGTTTTTTTGACAGCGTAGTGAGTATCGCATGACTATAGATTTATAACCAAGATGGAAATTGGGGAAGGTGTAAGTAGGGTAGATCAATATGTTTGATAAGGTGGGCGGGAAGGGAAATAGAGAGGGGAGCGAAATAAGGAAGTAGAAACAAGGCAGCTAGAAGGGGAGCATCAAAGGATCAGATATAGTAAGGAATAGCAGAGAAGGTGGGGTAAAATCGCGCGCGCAAGGAAGAGGGAGCGAGAGCTATGAAAGGGGAAGAAAGGAGATCGCACTGAACAATAAGGTAGGGCGAGGAATGAGACGAGTAGAATGAGAAGGGGATGTAGAAGGAGTATAGAACACAGTGACAATGTAAGAATGGAGTGGTGGGTATGTATGAGGGAAGAACAGGAGGGTGAGTGGAGCAGCAGATCGTGGAGGTATGCAACGGAGAAATGAACGTATATATATATATATATATTGGCGAAGGCGTAGGGTTTCAAAAGAATGATATTTTGTGGATAGCAGGGTAAGGGGAGGCGTACGTGGAAACGGGAGGAATGGAAGAGTAGAAAAATGACAGGGAAAAGAGCGGTATCTATATGAATTGTACTAACAAACTATGTATTTATTAAATGATGGCAAATATCCAAGAATCATTGGTCTTACTTTTTAAATGACCCTAAAAAGATGATTGCCACCGAAAACGTGTGTGAGGGTTGCTAAATAAATGAATCAACTGCTATTTAAATATGTTTTTTAATTTTTAGCGCAACGTGAATATGGGACAAGAAAGCAAGGCAATATGCTTCGCTATTTTCGCCGCTGTGCTCTGCTTGCCGCATTCCACTTCTTCTAGCAGAAATCCATGGCAAAAGCCTGGATGCCACAGAGTTGGTAAGCAGCAATAGTAAAGCGTTTGTAATGCGTGGATCTAATCACATCATATCATAGCATTTCGCGTGTACAATTCAGTTGCGTAATGTGTCTACATCTGGCGCTTTTTGAGTGCCTATCAATTTTAATGAAGCGGATTTCTTCGTTGTTCTGCGTTACTCCTAAAGTTCTTAGTTGCGCTATATCGATTCACCTTCACAGGCGTAAGCTGCAACTTTGCGCAATTTTATTGCATGAAACACATTTAATGTCTTTAGCCAGATGTGATATCAATCTCCGGGACATAAGTAATAATATAATAATAAACACGGTCCGAGTAATCTCCATATAATATCTTACATCCTTTATTATAAAACAAACGGAGTTTTTCTTTTTAAAGCAACATTTCGGTATAGTTATATGGTTAACTAGTTATCCAGGCTTCTCCAGGACTTCTATTTCTTCCGCAAATACTTCGCGGGTGATGCATCATAAAGTCGAGGAAACATTATCATGTTATTTTAGCAAGATTGTTTCGTAGAATTATAACTCGTTTCGAGCTTCGTAAGTAAAGCCGTTTCGTTATTGTACTCTGCCTAGGGCAGACCTGCGACTTTTTCATGCACCTCGACAGCTATTCTAGAATCGCTGTAAAAATTGCTATGTCTGCGGGAACGTGCAACTGCAACCCGTAGGAATTGTGGTCGCTTGCGACGAGTTGCAAGAAATCAAACTGTTTTGATTTTGAGCGACTCGTCGCTCCCAATCGCTCCCAAATTGCTATAGAATTGCTTCGAAATCGCATGTGTTCGCACACCCGGCGACACATCGACCGATCGATTGCGGTTGCAGGTTGCAGCGACGAGCAAATAAAATCGTTCTTCTCGTGCAAACAAGGTCTGCGCTAGGCTTCTATATTCCCTGTTCCCAGTCAGAGTGCTGATATTCATTGTTCCGTCTCCGAGATTTGGAGAACGGAACTCGTGCATCGACCATCACAGCCACGACGGACCTTATTACCTTATTAAGTTTAGATCGATGAATTAAAATTAACATTTATATTATTAAAGGGGTAGTTATCACCTGCGCTTCACATCACGTTCACACCCCGCACTCCATTCTATTAAATATAAATATGTAATTGTTAATTCGATATACATATATATATATATATATAATTATATATATATACAAAAAACATTTTGGGCAATATTGACCGGTAGCATCATATCCCATACGTATTCACGCTCCTTTCCTTTATTTAAGGGGAGGCGATAAGTTAAAAGACGTTATTCATCCGTTTTTAAATAAGTTATTACATACTTTTAACGTCCTAGGCTTTTACGACTTTCTATTTTGGCATTCTAGTGGTTTTCCTTTTGCCGTTGGGTTTGAAGTTAAAGCAAAATAACTGCGTTTGACGCAAGCGCAATCACGGTCGTTGAAATAAGTGCGAAAATGATGTGACTACTCCCTAAGGTCGCTGTAATAGGCTATGTTGCACACTCTCTCTCTCTCTCTCTCTCTCTCTCTCTCTCTCTCACACCAGCACCACACACACACACACACACACACACCACACACACACCACACACACAACACACACACAAAGCACACACACACCACAACCACACCACACGCACGCACGCACGCTCGCCACACGCACGCACACACGCACGCCACGCACGCCACGCACGCACGCACGCACGCACGACGCAACGTACGCACGCACGCACAGCACGCATACACACAACGCACGCACGCACGGCACGCACGCACGCACGCCACACAACACACACACACACACACACACACACACAGGTGCTCCTCAGTGGTGGTGCAAAGACGATTTGGACCTATAGAAATCACGTTATTACGTTGATTTTTATGTTTTTACGACAACTATAGACGAAAGTAACGTCATTAAAAACGCCAACCTCCCCGTTTTGTTAGTTTTTCTGGTGACAAATTATATTTGAGTTAATGACCAGATCGTTTCGAGGCGTAATGTAAGCGAGTCCTAGCGCGATTTCACCATGTGACGTCAGCACGCATATGTTGTGCAATCTAAACGGCTTTAGTTAATGTGATCGTGTTCAGGAGAAGGTGTCTTTATGGCATCAAACCTATAAGGCCGATTCAAACTTCGTACTTTTCTGTATAATAACTCATCAACCGCCGAACTCATCTATGCTATGAATCGTATAAAATATAGTTCATAATAATAATAATAATAATAATAATAATAATAATAATAATAATAATAATAAAATAATAATAATAATAATAATAGGATGGCTATATATACTTCTCACTATATGGGATCGACAAATACACGCATGCCATACACACATGCACGTGTACTGCCTTATTAGTTAATCGAATAACGAAATTAAGGTGCGAGTAATCGCAGGTGATCTATCTATACGGAGCACGATTTAGTTTTCAAGGCAGACCTAAAATGATGATCTGAAGACAATAAACAGATGAATTCAGATTAAAAGAGTTCGCCATGCAGGTGAATATCACAAACGAGTGCGAACTATAATTTTACTAAATTAAATAGAAATCCTGCTACCCTAAGTGCACAGCCGTGGAGCAATGCTGTGACGTTGAGCACCCGGAAGAAGACTGATGCGCAATACAGATGGAATTCGAGCGCGAACGTTTCCCGGACACGTAGAATTGATTGAGCTTGCGTACGAGAGCTATGCTTTATTTCCCAAAACTGCGGACTTCGTTGTCAACAACAACGTGCCGAAGGCCATTAGCACCAGCCCGAGACATACTAGACACCCGCGTAATGCGAAAACTACGCGGAGTGATATTCGCTGTGAGTTGAGATGCGTTGTTTGGGAGTATGCGAGCATGACTTACGAATGATTCACACGTAAACGATCGACACTTCAAGCAGAATCTTGAAAGAGCCCGCGACGATAATTCGCAACCGTACTCGAGGAATGCAGCGTGGCCTACTAAATGAACGTTGCAGCATTTCCTGCCGCAGCGAAATTGATTCAGAATTGACGCTTTTTTCTACCGGATCATTTATAATTTTCGACGGACACGATCGCGTTCGTGTGTTTGATTGACAGCGGAAACCATCGCCGCGTTGATCTATCTCGTGAACGCGTATAAACACTCGCACTGCAGTGTAGCGTCTTCGCAGCATTATTTTGGGCGTTTCTCCGCTAAATACACTTGCAGATGGGCAGGAGTTTACTGCTGCCGGGCTAAGTGCATAATAATCTGATCATATAATCAGACATGATTGTGTCTCAATCGCGCATGGAGTGAATTACAGCGGCTGAAGTTATCCAACTCCTTGCCGGAGTTCGGAAGCTCTCGTTCGCCGATTCAGATTAAATGGCTGCATGTGCATGCGACGTACGTAGAAAAAGGAAAAACTGGTAATGTAAGAAACTCGCTTGCTTGCTGTGGGCGCACGTAAAGGATGAGCCATAACCAATCATCTTAACTCAGATTAAATACATGAGTGTAGCGATGTATATAAGATGTCTCATTCTGTTTTCAGAAGATTATAACAGGTGTTCGTGTAGAATGGTAGATAGATTGGGGGCACATATAGGATGACTCCCGAGTGAGTTCTGTATTTGTATTCGATTCTGCATACAAACAAGCAAAAGCGTCATCGTTACCGTCGTCACAATGTCGTCATCGTTATAACCATACACGTCTTTCCCGAACGTGTGGCGAATCTGCATATACGGTAGCACTTAGACACCGCTATTTGACATAATAATATATAGTGTCTTGCAATTAAACGTTTTAGTATTAATTTCATGCACTACAGTCGAACATGCACATACATATGCACATGTACACGCACATGAACATGCACATGCACATGCACACGCACACGCACACGCACCACGCACACACACGTACACGCACATATACATGCACGCGCGCACACACATGCACACACACACACACACACACACACACACACACACACAC